AGTATAGCCTCGCCAGTCGCCACCTCGAGCTTGCCGGTATGTGTGGGTACGTGCACGTGCGTCTCTCCTGCCGGGTTGCATCATCCCGCGCGAGGCCCGATAGTCGGGCTCCTGCATCGTACTATCAGTTAATCGTCTATTCTAACTAACTATCAGTTAATTCTACAACGCCTATTGGTTAGTCGTGGCCGTATTGGAACCGTCTAGGATCCAGCATGTATCCTTACATCATGGGATCCAGGAGCCACTTAACCAGAGGAAGAAGAAGACGTGCGTCTCATTCATCACGGAAAGGTAAGCATTTATGAAATCTACATCATCCGCGTGCACATTTCGCTCAGGGTGCGTTTCGTTTCACGCACAATGCGTATAATGCATCATTTATCCTTTTTCACCGAATGTTAAAGAAAGATAAATGATGCGTTATGCGTATCATGCATGAAATGGAACACACCCTCAGGCATCTCGCGACGAGCTTCCTGCGCACGATTTTTTTCCAATTTAGTATGCTTTCCTTTTAGTAGACACAGTCGACACAAGTGTCGTTCTGTCTTTGTTGTTTATTGAATGCGAAGAAAGACAGAACGACACTTGTGTCGACTGTGTCTACTAAAAGGAAAGCGTACTTAATAGTCTAGTATTTTTTAATTATTTTTCGGTCCAAAGCCTCGATGTGATGAACAATTATTTTCATGCTCGCCAGGTTTCCGATTTTCGGCCGGAGATTACAGGACACTAGTAAAACTCAGGTGGTCTCTTTCGTAAGATCGTCTCATCCAACCTTACGTCTCTCATCTGATCACGCCAATTCAACCAAGGAAAACATTCAACACCGGTAAGTAATATGTATTATATATAGTGTATCACAATTTGTGATGTACCAAGTGAGAAATGATTCGTCGATCGACGTCGAAATGATGTCGAATTGACGTCAATTCGACGGTGTCGATGTCAATTCGACGTCGTTTCGACGTCGATCGACAAATCATTTCTCACTGGGATATATTTCGTTTTTTTCGGTTATCTAATTGACGGATCGAAAAGTTGTTTTTAGTTTGTGTGTGTAGCTATGCTGTAAATAACTTACTATAACATTTCAATATGGTAGGAAATAAAAGTACACATTTTAAGCAGTAAATTAAGACAAAGAAAGTAAGATGTATTAATTTTTGGCTGAGATATAATATAATAAAAAACATTTCTTTGAAAAAACTCCTCTTCGTGGTTGACACGATTTCTTAATTTGTAGACATCTGAAACAAATAATCTTGGTGTCATTTTAATCTTAAATGATGTCGCTATCGTTCGATCGGAGCTTTTTAAAAATAATAAGTTTCAACAAATTGGCGGCCATCTAAAATTAAGTTTACACGTTTTCAGTAAAAATTTTGTTCTTTCTTTAACCATAAAAAAGAATGGTTTAAGATATCGAAAAAGCCACGATCGAACGATAGCGACATAATTTTAGATTATAACGATACCAAGATTATTGACATGTCAACCAGGAAGAGGAGTGAGACGTTTTTTATTATATTATATCTCAGTCAAAAATTAATATTTCTTAACTTTCTTTGTCTTAATCTACTGCTTAAAATGTGTACTTTTATTTCCTACCATATTGAAATTTTATAGTAAATTATTAGCAACACAGCTACAAACTAAAGACAAGTCAATTTTTCGATCCGTCATTTAGGTGTCGCCCCCTTAAGCCGCATGTCTGTTTATTATGTTATAAAGATTTTCTAAATAAAGATTATATTATAAAAAATTAAAAGTAAGGATTGTGTTAATTATAAAGAAGAGAAATAAAGATTGACATTTTTATATTTATACAGGGTGTACTAAAACCACCGGATATCCTTTTAATCATAAATTCTTTAGAAACTTTCAAGGCAAAAATTGTAATACAAAAATGTCGAGGCTATAATAGTTTTTAAATAATAAGCAATTATCGCTTATTATTTAAAAACTATCATAGCCACATTTTTTTATTAGAATTTTCCTCTTGAAATTTTCTAAGGAATCTGCGATTAAAAGGATATCCGGTGATTTTAGTACACCCTGTATATTTCCTTGATTTGCTGACATGCATAATTGTAGTTACATTGTTTATTTAAAAAGCAGTGGTTATTTTTATATATTTAGGTACTTTGAATTCTTATGGAAACACTTTTACTCTTCATAATAAGCTGATTAAGATTACAATGCCGCGACGTAGAAGACCTGAGGAAAATATTAGTAAATCTGAGTTATTTCGTTGCGCAAAAAAACAAACGATTTGAGAACTAGAAGAAATTTCTATTGTGTTTCAATCACACGAAAGCTCGGCTATTATTAGACCCGAAGAGGAAATCTATACAGAAACAGTAAATAATGTTCTTTTAACAAAAGACAATGACAGTCAAACAGAACTCTCAAATGCCCAGGAAGTATACAACGAACATTTTAATGAACATATTGCAATGCAAACAATCAACACCTGTATACATATATAGTGAGTAATTGTTAATATATAAATCTTTTTTAGATTATAAATTGAAATTTTTTACAACATTGTTTTGTTATATTATTGTTTTTATTTTATTTAATATTTCAAATTTAGTTATGTAAAATTAATATAGTAAATAAACCTAGTAAATAAAAACACTACTGGGGAAAAACACATTCCAA